ATATACCAAAGCATGGAGACGCGGGAAATTACAACATGAGGGAGAGGCATCTTACCAAAGCAATCTTTCTTTTCTTGTGCCAAGGGAAAGGGCACAATCGTCAAACCCTATTATTTCGCTCTACTACCTAAACATGGGACATCATTTCAAACCCATATAGTATAAGTCCTAGTGCGCTTGATTTCTCTTTAAATACCCATCTTTTCTCCCTGAAAACTGTACCCACTGTTGGTTTCAGTTCTTCAATTCATGCTCTTTTGTGTTTTGTGCAGGCAAAACTACTTTTCTCGGCAACCATGCTACTGAGAAGTCCGACGACGACCGTAAGTATACATTAAGGATTGGTCACAGTTTCTAAGCTTCATACCTCTTACACATTCCCATTCTGATTATGTGATATTGTGTGTTGCAGTTCCTAAAGGTCTGAAGATTCATCAGGTACAGTTCTCTACACAGCATGACGAAATCTTTTTTGACTGTTATGAGTCTTCTCAAGTTAGTGGTCCGAGCGAAATGCACTAGTAAGTACACCTTCTAATTGGTATTAGAAGCCGCGGTTTAAATTCTCTGTCACTGAAATATTCTCCTAAGATCGCTTAATGTTAGGTTATTATGTGTACAATCAATCTAGAGTATTCGTAGTTGAAATTGGCATCTTGTTATCTGGACAGTTGGAGTTCGACCTGAAAAAACCTCTACTACAAAAATGGTTGATACTGACTGTGTTTTTTCCTTCTCTTTAGCTTTGGTGCACATTGTGGAATCCTATTTGTTGATGTCACAGAGAGTAGAACATGCTCGGGTGCTCAGATCTGGTACGATAACATTAAGAATCTGTGTGGTGAAATCCTTGTTGTTGTGTTTGGGAATAAAACTGATTTGGAGAAGTGGAAATTGTTGGCCAAGGACGGGCCGAACCTCACTAATCAGAATCTCCAGTATTACGAGGTATCTGGCAAGAGCAGCTGCCGTTCGAAGACCCCTTCTTGTACCTTGCTAGAATACTGACTGGCGACCCTAAGCTTCAGTTTGTCAAGTCACCAGCTCTTGCTCCTTCAGATGTTCGCGTCGACATTGCTGCTACGCAGAAGAACAAGGCTAATCTCATTGTGGCTGAACGTCAGCTGCTCACTGATGATGGTGACAACTATGAGGTGGAAGGGGATAGGCTTGCACAATTTGCTCGTCAGAGGATCTTGCCACTGATTAATTCTGGAAATGGTGAGCCTACGGAGCTATTAGCAGACAAGGGTAAGTAGCCAATCCTTTTGAGTTAATCTTGCCTTGGGAAGTTGTTGCTTTTTTCTTTTGTCTCTCTCTCTTGCATATCAAGTTTTTTGCATATCTAATTTTTTTTATTCAATTTGGATCACAAATCTGAGTTTACGACTATTTCTGGGTTAATTTTGTTTTTGATATTTTTTTAACTGATATAGGTTTTTGACGTATTTTAAGAAGTTTTTAAACAATTTATAAGAATATGTACCTGCCTATATAGTAAAATGACACGTCATAATAAAATTCGTGAAAGTGATTGTAGAGGCGACGCGTAAACATTTTTGAGAAAATCATTTTCCAAATAATGTATAAAGAATTTTTATCAGCTAATGAAATCCATCGAATATCTAACAAAATCTTCTTCTTTCTTTGAGCAATCATCTAACAAAATATATATAAACTAATTTTGTATATTCGATTATTTATTGTTTTGTTCTCTTCAAC